TGATTCGATGAAAAATGAGTGGTAAAAACATATTTTATAACATAAAATTTTCATTGATTTGCCGTGGAAAAAACCTCTATTTGTAGCAGTGTGTTGAGTTGTGTCCTAAGTCTGCCAAAAGATTATGGGAAAGTCTCCCTCTCTAACTATTGTCTCAAGAATATTGCATTGCTAATGAAACCAAAAGTAATCTACTATATATGTTTAGCTAAAGCTAAATAATAAGCTATGAAATGGAACTAACTTCCCGTCTTCCCCTGATGAAACCACCGTGCGCGAAAGCAGCAAGGAGTGTGCTGGAGATCTAATCAAAAGCAGTGACGAATGCAAATTTTCATCAAAGGGCCGGCCAACCTCCGCTAGTTGAGGTTGGCCAAACGCAAGTTTTCTTGGAGGAGAATAAAAAATCATATGCACACACTCTCGCAGCACCAAAAACACAACATTACATATTAAACCTTTAACATATTTCCATGGGGAACCAAAGTTAGTATGGGAAGAGGAAGAGGTACAACAAATGATCATAAATGAGGACTTACAATACGCAGTGATTGGGAAATTCTCTTATAGATGGCCGGATATTCAAGAGTTGAGGAAATTAATACCAAAACAATGTGACTTAAAAAGGGAAGTGAACATAGGGCTTTTGAGTAAAATATATATATTGATAAGGGCCTCACTGCTCGAAGATTATGTGAAACTGTTATCAAAACCTCAATTTTATATCATGCATAATAATTGGTCTTATCCAATGAAAACCCTGAAGTGGGATCCACTATTTGATCCAGAGAAGGAAACGACCACCGCAATAGCCTGGATATCTTTCCCATCATTGCCATTAAACTGTTTTGGTAAGGAGACAATTTTTTATATGGCAACATTAGTTGGAAGACCTCTACAAGTAGATCTAGCAACACAAAATAAAACAAGGCCTGGTTGTGCAAGGGTAAAGGTCGAGGTGGATATTTTGGGAGAATTCCCAAAAAGAATTAACATTGGAATGAGGAGAAAGACTAGTGAAATCATGGAAAAATGGGTGACAATAAAGTACGATTATGTTCCAAAATACTGCAAAACATGCAGGCTCCAGGGACACAATGAGAAAGACTGCTATGTCATTCACCCAGAACTTTTCCCACAAGAAGAAAAGAAAGAGGAGAAAGAGTTGGCACAGGAGAACAAAGAAGAAAAGGGGGTAAAAGATGATCAAGCGTTTGTAAAAGGTGCAAAGGGAAAATTACAGAAACAAGGTGCCAGAGCCCACGAGGAATGGGAACAAAAGGGGTTATTATCATCAAAGAAAAAAACCAGAACAAGTCTGGAATGTAAGAACACAAGAAGAATATAGAGTAGAGGTGGCTACAAAAAACAAATTTCGAGCAGTAGAAGACAAACACTTTGGAAAAGACGATAACAAAGAGGAAAGAACAAATGATAAGCGAATTATACTCCTACAGAATGAAGCGGAGGGCAAGGAGAGTCAACCATCAAAGTAGAAAATAGTAACAAAACTAAGCAGAAGAAGTGAGACAGGATCCACAAATTTTCATCTGAATAAGACCAAGATAGGTTAGGAGCAAAGCTGCAACTCAGAAAATTCGTTTGTACAAGAAACAGGTAACAATGGCACACCACTGGAGGCAAAAACAAACTCTGATAATAAAAAGGAGGGGGGGAGGAGGAGAAAAATAGCACATTTACTGGAGAAGGAAGATGTTTTGACAAATAAAGAACCAACTATTTTCCTAACGTCTAAGATAGACAAGCTAAAACCACATGAGATTAAAGAAAAGTTAGATACAGAAGAAGAAAAGGGCATGTATGCTAATATACACCACATCAACAGGGAAGGAGATATATCCCCAAGACAAATAGGACACTTAAAAGGAAAATATGGGACAAACATGAACACCAATCTAGACATGTCCTATGTCAATACAAAGAGTAGAAGAAACATTCCCTTGTTTCTTGATCAATGATTAGTAAAATTTTGTTTTGGAATATTAGGTCAGTAAAGTCTCAAAATTCTTTTGAGAGACTACTGGATCTAAACAGAAAACGTCATTACTCATATATTTCTCTCTTAGAGCCTTTTCAAAGCCCTTTAGAATTGATGGGTACAGGAGAAAACTTGGGAAACAGCATGCCAAAGTTAATTGTTCTTCTAAAATTTGGTTATTTTGGGATGAGAAGTGGGTGGAGCAGGATTGTATTCACACAGTGCAACAACTTACTGTTTCTTTCAAACATAGAGACACCAATGCTCATGTCAAGGTTACATCAGTCTATGCTAGATGTAGTGCCCTGGAGAGATTGGAATTGTGGAAAGACCTTGAAGAGATTGCTTACAATACAGTTTGTCCTTGGATGGTAGGGGGAGATTTCAACACCATTATTGATGAGTCAGAGAATTTGGAAGGATTACATGTTTCACAAACAGAAGTGGAGGACTTTGTCTAATGCATCAACTCTTGTGCCTTGAATGAGATAAAATTCTCAGGAAGCTGTTACACTTGGTGGAATTGCCGAATAGAGCAAGACTGTATTTTCAAAAGACTGGACAGAGTCTTTGGGAATAATGAATTGATTAATCAATTGTAGAATACAGAAGTACAACACCTAATCAGGGAAGGTTCAGATCATGCCCCACTACATGTTACCTATAGTACATCCAGGAGCAAATTTTCAAGCCTTTTAGATTTCTCAATTTCTGGATTAAACACCATAGTTTTCAAAAAATAGTTGAAGACATCTGGAAGTTGGAAGCAACGGTTCACCCTTCACTGTGGTACAAACTAAAATGAAAAGAGTGAAGATAACTTTGGTACAATGGAGTAAAACAATTTTTGGAAACATTTTTCAACAGGTGGAAACCTTAGAGGATATAGTCAAGACCAAAGAAGTTCAGGTAGAGATCAATGCATCAGTAGAAAATAGAAAAGCTTTGAAGAAAGCTGAGGCAGACCTTAAAAAATACCTGCACATTGAGGAAGAATATTGGAAGCAAAAAGCAGGGATGAGGTGGTTTCAAGATGGGGATAAGAACACAAAGTTTTTCATGCATATGTTAATGGGAGAAGGAGAAAGCTGCAGATTTCTGAGAAAAAGACCAGACAAGGAGATACAGTAACCACCATACAGAATATTGGAGAAGAGGCAGTGAGTATGTTCAAAGAACTATTTATAGAGACTAATGAGCCTACAGATTATTCAATGCTGGACAACATTCCTAAAATGATAACAAAAGAACAAAATGAAGAGATGGGAGTATTACCATCTGAAGAAGAGGTTAAAGAAGTGGTGTTTGCATTGAATGGGGATAGTGCAAATGGTCTAGATGGCTTCTCAGAATTATTTTCTCAAAGTTGTTGGGATACGGTGAAAAGCGACATTGTAAACATGGTGAAAGCTTTTTTTTTTTGTGGACGGGAGCTTCCCAGGTTTATAACTCACACGAATCTAGTTCTGATTCCTAAAAATGAGGTAGTTGAAAATTTTGGTGATCTGAGACCTATAAGCCTTTGCACTTTCATTAACAAGATCATATCAAGGATGTTGCACGAAAGATTAGTAAAAGTGCTACCTAATATTATCTCATAGAATCAAGCAGGTTTTGTGAATGAGAGAAGTAGTACAGAGAACGTTCTTCTAGCTCAGGAGATCATAAGGGATATTAATAGAAGAAACAAGCTACATAATGTGGTGGTGAAAATGGACATGGCTAAGGCCTATGATAGAGTCTTTCTCATAAAAGTTCTAAGGGTTTTGGTTTCTCAAAAAGGATTATTGACATGGTGGTAAGGTTGATATCAAACAACTGGTACTCAGTGATTATGAATGGGCAGAATTTTGGTTTTTTTCGATCATCAAGGGGATTGAAACAGGGGGATCCTCTTTCTCCAACATTGTTTATCATAGCAGCAGAGGTTTTGGCAAGAAGTCTCAACCAGTTATTCAAGGATCAAAAGTATAAAGGTTTTAGACTACCAAAGTGGAGCCCTGAGATTAATCACCTGAACTATGCTGATGATACTATATTGTTCTGTTCAGGAAAATCATACTCAATGAGGAAAATGATGAAGATGCTGAGAGATTATGAACAGGTGTCAGGACAACTAATCAATATAAACAAGAGCTTTACTTATTTGCATGAAAAGGTACCAATTGGAGTATGTAGAAAGGTAAGAAGAATAACAAGAATTAAGCAGTGCTCTTTTCCTTTCACCTATTTGGGATTCCCGATATTCTATAGAAGGAAGAATAGAACACACTTTGAGAGTTTGATCAAGAAGGTGGTGAAGAGAATCAGTTCCTGGCAGAATAGACTACTCTCTTTTGGAGGAAGATACGTCCTAATAGCACATGTACTACAATGTATGCCAATTTATGTACTCTCTGCCATGAATCCACTAGCTTGTGTCATTACCCAATTGCATAGAATTTCTGCAAAAAAGATTTGGGCTAACACTGCAGGGGCTAAGAACAAACATTGGGTGGCTTAGGACAAAATATGCTATCCTAGAAGAGAATGAGGAATGAGATGGAGGTCACTACATGATGTTTCAAAGGTACTTTTTGCCAAACTCTTGTGGAATTTCAGAATTTCAACAGATACTCTATGGGCTTCTTTTATGTAGAAAAAATACTATAAGAAACACCATCCTATCATTGATAAGGGATATGGGACATCTCATGTTTGGAGAAGAATGACATCAGTAAAAGAGAAAATTGAACATGAAATATGGTGGCAAATTAAAGCAGGCAACTCTAGTTTCTGTTTTGACAACTGGACTAAACAAGGAGCCCTATATCATATAGAAGAAAATGCAAAGGATGAGGAGGTGGAAGTTAATGATTTCAGCATAAAAGAAGGGTGGGACAGGGAGAAGTTGTTACAAAATCTGTTTACTGAAATGACTAACTATATCATGGAGAACATATCACCTCCAAACACTCTTTTTGGAAATGATGTAGCTTGGTGGATGGCAAATGCATAGGGAATGTTCACAGTTAAGTCAACTTGTGAGATAGTGAAAAGCAAACAGGAACCTAGAAGAGACTTTGAGGTACTCTGGAATAAAGGACTGCCCTTTAAGATTAATTTCTTTCTGTGGAGAGTCTGGAAGAGGAAGATTGCCACCGATGACAATCTTAAGAAGATGAGAATCAACATAGCTTCCAGATGTTGGTGCTGTGACAGGAAAGAGAAGGAAACAATGACTCATTTATTCCTAATAGCCCCAATAGCCAACATGCTATGGAGATATTTTTCTCTTTTTGCAGGAATCAACATAGAAGGAATGCGTCTACAACAACTCATAATCTCTTGGTGGAAACAGAAGGCAATACCAAAATTGCAGAGCATATATAGAGCAATTCCAACCATCATCATGTGGAGTTTATGGAAGAGAAGGAATGCCCTCAAACATGGCAGTGGAATCAGCTGGGAAGGAATGGTGGAAATGACAATTGAAGTGGTCAGGCAGATGGTGAAGACTCAATTTCCATGGATAAAGAAAATGAGATGGTCATGGCATGAGATAGTGCATAGACTCAATCAGTACAAGCCCAAGATACACTACTTAAGTGTCACATGGAAACCTCCAAAGATTACTAAGTAAAGTGTAACACTGATGGAGCATGCAGAGGTAACCCAGGTTGGAGCTCTTTTGGATTTTGTTTTAGAGATAATAAAGGAGATCTAATATATGCCAAAGCCAAGGGTATTGGCATTGCAACAAATATGCAAGCAGAAACTGTTGCTATCCTAATAGCTCTTAGAGAGTGTTTTAGCAGAAGAATTCAGAATGTAATTATTGAGACTGACTCTCTCAGTCTCAAGAAAATCATTTAGAAGATTTGGAGAATTCCATGGAAAATAGCAGAAAAAGTGGAAGAGATAAGAGAGATAATGGAGAAGATAAGTGCAACAATTACACACATATTCAGATAGGGCAATTTTTTTGCAGATTCTTTGGCTAATATAGCTATAGAGTCACAAACAGAGCATCAATATTGCTATTTTCAGGAGCTACCACTGAAGGAAAAAAGGATCTTAAATGCAGATAAATCACAAATGCCTAATCTCAGGATCAGAACATGCAAAATCACCCTGCACTGTCACGATTACACAACTGGTTACAAAAAGCTAGTTATAACCTCAAGAGTCCATCTTTTAAAATTCAAAGAGGGGCAAGGGATTACGTAGAACGAGAAGAAGAAAACTCAGCTAAGTCACAACAAAGTCATCAGCTATTCTTTCCTCTACCAGCCACTTGGAAATGGAACTACCCGACATTCTGTAAAAGAACCGAAAAAGTGAGAAGAGAGAAATCAAGAAAGGAAGTAAGAAGGAAGAGAGGTATACCTTGGTATATGGAAGTTCAACATAGAAGACAACGGAGGGAGAATTTCATGATTCCCACCGACAACTATCAGGAAGATGGTTTTCTTGGTTGAATTACTTTCCAAAAGTGAAAGCTACTTTACCAATTTTTGTTTGGATCGGGTCTTTTAGACCTTACCAATTTTTATGTTTTATTTTTTTGCTTTGCTTTGTTTCTTTGGGGGCCATGGGCTTTGTACATGATTATGATTCATTTTTATTAAATAAAAGGCTGCACATGCCACAAAAATTCATATTAAAAAAAAACATAATTTTCCAACAAAGGGGGTTAGGATAAATCCCCTTCCACCCTTAGTGATAAGTGAAGGGAAGAAAATGATATGAGAGACATAGGGAAGACTCAATTAGCACAACACACACAACTTTGACTCCAATAAATTTGATCCTCATTTTTAGGTCGAGTCTTAAACTCTGACTCCAAAAACCCAAAACTAGGTGGAGATGCCCATTTTGAGCTCGTTTAAATGAATGTTCCCGCTAAATTTGAGTACAAATTAAGAATTTATACATATGTAGATAGAGTATGAACAAAAGTTATTGAATTCACGTTAACTTGTAAGTTAACACCTGGTATTCATAGATCACGTAAGTAGGGATACAACTCTGTGACCGATTGTCGGACTGAATAGATGGTGGTATCACACCCTTCTCAAAGGAACAATACGTGACACTATGATCGTCCCTGAAGCAGGACTTTGCAATATGTCACTAGTCACTACTAAAATATCACTATATTTCCATTGAAATTTTCCATTGAAAAATGTTCGGTGGTTGTTCTCATAAAAGGCTCAATTATGTCATCAAACTTTGGGGAAAGGCTCATCTATGCCGTTCACGTTTATTGGCTCATCTATGTCATTTCCGTTTGAGAAAAGGCTCATCCATGCCATTATTTATTAATTGAAAAAAGTTTCAGTTTTGCAAAATTACTTTTTACACATGGTCAATTATAATTCGGTCATGTCATTGATTAAATTATTTTTTAAAAAAGAAAACGCTCAAATATGCCATTGAACTTTGTGAAAAAAGCTCATCTATGTCACCCGTTAAAAGTTTGGCTCATCTATGCTATTTCAATGAACAAATAATGGCATGGATGAGCCTTTTCTCAAACGAAAATGACATAGATGAGCCAATAAACGTGAACGGCATAGATGAGCCTTTCCCCAAAGTTTGATGACATAATTGAGCCTTTTATGAGAACAACCACCGAACATTTTTCAATGGAAAATTTCAATGGAAATATAGTGATATTTTAGTAGTGACTAGTGGATGAGCCAAACGTTGAACGGATGACATAAATGAGTCTTTTCTCAAAGTTGCATATTTGAGCCTTTTCCCTATTTATATTTTTTGAACCAGTGAGAAAAGAGATAGTAGTGTTTTCACACAAAAAAATTAGGATGCTTCCTAGTATTTCACTAAGAATCTGGTTCTCACCATGTATTTTCTCAATGAGCTAGTTCAAAGGGAAATAGATGGTAAAATCATGTTTTGTAATACAAATTTTTCATTGATTTGCTGTAAAAAAAAACTCTAATAATGTGTAGTAGAGTGTTGAGTTATGTTCTAAGCATGCCAAAGATGGGTAAGTCTCCCTCTCTGGCTATTGTCTCAAGAATATTGCATTGCTAATGAAACAACCTGTAATTAACTAAATAATAAGCTATCAAACAGAACTCACTACCCCTAATGAAGCCACGGCACACAAAAGCAGTCAGGAGTGCTAGAGATCTAGTCAAAAGCAGTGGTGAATGCAAGATTTTCAGCAAATAGATTTAACATATACTATTTATATATTACAAAAAAAAAATTGACCTTACCATATATATAGCCTGATTTTCCAACGAAGGGGGTTAGAATGAATCCCCTTCCGCCCCTAGTCATAAGTGAAGGAAGAAAATGATATGAGAGACATAGGGAAGAGTCAATTAGCACAACACACAACTTTGACTCTGATAAAATTAATCCTCATTTCTAGGCTATGTGTCAAACTATGACTCCAAACACTCAAAACTAATTGGAGATGCCCATTTCGAGCTTATTTAAACTGATGTTCCTGCTAAAAGGAAGTGATCGAACAATGACAAAATTAGTTTTTGACTTTTAAATTGAACGACATTAAGGTACTGTGAAAGAATAAATGTTTGAATACATCGCGTTAGGCCTTTTATGTTATGCAATCTTTATTTTAAACCAATACTAGTGATAACAGAACTTTGCAGAAACAGTAAATTTCAAAGTTTAAATCACGTAATGAAGAATAGAAATCAATTAACATAAATTAATAATGGTAAAATATACCAGAATATGTAACAATCGTATGAAACAGAAAGGAAAGAAAATCGAGCCCACTGAATGCACAATGTCCCTTCAAGGAAATTATTCCCCTCTAGTATCTGAGGTTTGAATTGAAATAGATCCTCCCAAGATAGAACGATTTTATTCATCAGTATATTGATACCCAAAACAATGGTGTCAGCGAGCCACTCAACGGTAGTAAAGTACACGAATATTGAATTGTGTAGAAGAAGAAGAAGCAGCTTAGAAATTTCGTAAGTGAAAAAATATGAGGAATCACAGGTATTTATAGTCAAGAAGCATTGGTTCCAAAAGGTTGCAACCTTCCAGAAACCACACGACCATTCATGAAAGTTTGCAACCCTTCAGAACGGTCATCGTTGTTCCTGAAAGTTACAACATTGCAGTATAGCCATTTCCAACGGTGGAAAATTCAAATAAAATGAAAAGATATTTTAAATGCGCGGATCCAAGTTGGTTTGGGTCATTTCGGCTAATTATTTAAATAATAAAAAACGTTTTGGTCATATTAATTTAAAATTAATTAAATAAATAATTAAAATAAATTTTGTCCAAAAAGTAATTTCTCATTTTTCAAAGCCAAAGACAAAGCCGAGCGATGACAACGGCGTGAGGGGTCCCTCTTTCCAACCCTTTTAACAACTAGTAGAAGTGTTTATCTATTTAAACACTTTAATTTTTCTTTCCACCACTAATGATGGAGAAATGCTTTTTTTTACTAAAGCATAAGAGAACCTTTCACATTCCTTCTTTTTATCTTCCCTTCATTTCCCATTAATTCTTACTATATATCCAACATTTTAGCGTGGAAGCTAAGTATATATGGTGCTGCTAAGTTACATGTATCAATTTAACCAAATCCTAAAAATTCTTGAACCAGTTCACATAATTACTTGATAGCAACTAACAGATTAGTAAGATAGTCATTGTGATAATTGATCCTTTGTGTATCCTTGAGAGTATCTTGTTGCGATGTTAATATCTTATTTGAATCATCCAAAAAATTTAAATAAGAGGCTCAAACTATTTTTTTCTTGAACTCTTTTTCAAATTCAATAAATATTGATTGATGGGATAGTTTAGTAGCGACATTGTAGATTTAGAGACTTGCTATTTTCAGTAGTAAATGTATAACATATTTGCCTTACTATGTAATTTTAAATAGGAAATAACATATTTTAGGTATGTAATTGACAAATTCAACATAATTTATATATTTTTCTATGCCTAATTATCCCAAAGAGTTCAATATAGAAGTTCTAATATTCATTTTACAAAGGTATGAGGATATGATCTTAATGAATTATTTGTTGCTACTAAATCGTGTAGAGGAGCTGGTCTTCCTCATGCCTTTTTATTGCTTATAGTTTTGTATTTTTATTCTGCGAAGTTTAGCTTCTCAATATATGGTAATAATTTCTTAAGCATTTTTATTTGCAAGAATTAATGTATATTAGATTGAAACAAATTGCAGTATTTTCTTTTATAATAAAGCGAATTAATATATTATATTTTTATGATCACACAATACTAGGCTATTTTACTTGTATAAAAGTAAATTTTAGAAACAAAAGTATATATATTGTGAAGGCATACATATACATATTGTAACATACATATCTCATTAAATTAGTCTTTTTCCGTCATATGACCACATAGCTTGAAAAATAGATATAAGCATTGAGATCACTCTTTTTACCATCAAAGATCAGAATTCTTTCAATGACAAAAAAGGAGAACTAGAGGTCTATCTTAAATTTCTAATTTTTGCATTATCAGATATTATCTGATTGATGGAAGAGAGAAGATATAACATCATATTGGAGAGTAAAGTTAAAAGGAAACTTGGACTATGTTCTTTTGTTTGTTGTTTTCTATAGATTAATTTCCAAATATTAAACCGTCTTAAAAATTAATCCCTTTAATTTTTACAACAATCCGTTGTAGTCTAGTTTGTTAGGATACTCGGCTCTCACCCGAGAGACCCGGGTTCAAGTCCCGGCAACGGAAGTTTTACTTTCCATAAAGGTGGATCCTAGAATTTTTATTTTTTGTGAGACACCCGAGTTCAAGTCCCGTTTCATAAAGGTAGATCCTAGAATTTTTATTTATTGTGAGACACCGGG